ATTTCAGCTTTAACAAATACGGGTAAAACAATAATATTTTCAGGTATATTTTGTTGCTAGTGTTGCAAAAACTTCTGCAACTTCTATTTAATAAAGCCGGTATTTAAAATAAAACTTTTATAAATTAAGGTAGATTACATAGCAAGTAAGCAATGATATATAGGGTTTTTTAAAAAGTAAATATTTTTAAAAGTGAAAATAAGGCAGAAAGTTTCTGCGTAAACTTTAACACAGAATGTATAATTTCACGAGCTTATGCGCATAACTTTGTCTATTTTTATCAGCTCTAGTTTCTGAGCTTCAGCTATGTAGGTATAAAACAGAAAAAAACATGTAGTTACTAAGAAAAATTTTACTAAAAAAATAATTTAAATCAAATCAAATCAAATATATTACGTACCAGATTACGAGTTTTTTTTTATCCATGGAGGGGATCGTACCTAGGCACATATGCCTGTCTTGTGTGATCCCTTCCATAAAAAAAATACAATAATAAATTGTTTTAAAAGTACAAAAAAAAATTAAAAAGAAAAAACGACTCAGTAAAAGGAGTAATAGGAAACTAAAGCAAGACAGGTCCAAAAAGTGAGATAGGTTTAAAACTTTCTCCTGTAGTATAGTTAAACAGAAGTTAACGCTAAAAAATTGTAAAAAATACTTGAAAAGACCAGAAATAATGTACGTTATTTGCAGTTTTATTTAAAATATTTCAAACATATCTGGGGAAGTTTGGATCAATTCCTTGATTTCACTCTGTATAACCGTTTGAAGACACTGATATGTATATAATTGTCTTAATGTAAAAATGTTTAATTCTTGATATAGTAGTTGAGTTGAATATAGTCTATCCTTTTAAAATAATATTTTAATTAATGTATTTAATGTAGTTTGCAGATTTTGTAACGTACTTTTAAAAGTACCACCCCATATCGTTATACAATACCTTAAATTTGATTTGGAAAACGAATTATAAATCATAAATAAATTGTTTTTTGAAAGAATATCTCTAATGTTATAAAATTTGGTAAACGAGACTCTTAAGCGTTTTGTAACGTAAGTAACGTGTTCGTTCCATCTTATGTGCTGGTCAATCATTACACCTAAATATTTTATTGCTACTGTTTTTTCCAAGATGGAACAGTTACATCTAGTATGATTGCATTTAGAGTCATGTAGTTTAACGTCTATTTTAGGTTGATCAGCTGTAGTAGGAGAAAAAGTAACATATTTTGTTTTTTCAATGTTTAGAGTCAATAAACTATAATCTAGATAAATTTTTATTTTTTTTAAGCAAGCTTCTGTATTTAATTTTACTTCATCCCAAGATGTCCCAGTCACTACAAGGGCAGTGTCATCAGCATAACATACAAGTTTTCCTTTAAAATGATTTATGTTGGAGATGCTATTTATGTAAATTAAAAATAGAATTGGACCCAATACAGTCCCCTGCGGTATTCCTATTTGTACTATTGAAGCGGCACTTAATGTATCCCCTATTTTTACTTTTTGGGTTCTATCTGTTAAATAATTTCTAAGTAAATCAAGTCCTGTACCTCTAATGCCATAGTTACTCATTCTGATTAAGAGATCAGAGTGAGGAACCGTATCGAAGGCTTTTGCCAGATCAAGGAAAACCGCTAGGCATTTACTTGATCTATCCAAGGCGCGGACTATCGGTTCAAGTAGATGTAATGTCGCATCTTCAATTCTGGATTTTTTTATGAATCCAAATTGTATTTTCGATAGAACTTTATTTTTGTCTAGGAATTTTATTATTCTGTTTTTGACAGCTTAATTATTTATAACAGATATTGGTCTATAGTTATTCATTTTGCTATGATCCCCAGATTTAAAAATAGGAGTAACTATAGTATGTTTCCATTGACAAGGTATTATTCCACTAGACAAAGAAAGGTTTATAATATGCGATAAGGGAGTCACTACATCTTTATGAATATATTTAATGAGTTTAGTTTCTATTTTATCAGGTCCTGCAGAACAGTTATTTTTTAAGTTAGAAATTATTATTATTATTTCTGGAACCGTTACTGGTTCTAAAAAAAAAAAGAGAATTTTTTATGGCATTATCAGCTAAGAAATTGTTTGGTAATTTAATTTTTTTGATTTTATTTGCCATATTTTTACCCAAGTTTATAAAGAAATAATTAAATAAGGTTGCCTTTTCTTTATTATTTTTAACTAAACTTCCATTTTCATTTATATCAATATTTTTGTATCCATTTATATCATTGATTATTTTCCACGTTTTTTTACAGTCACCGTGAGCATCATTTAATTTAGTTTGATAGTAATCATTTTTAGTTTATTTATTAATGTATTTAATTTATTTCTATATTCTTTATATTTGGTTTCCCGTTCCATAGAAAAGTTTTTTAACAATTTCTTTTTTAATTGATCCCTCTTATAGATAGAAGTAATTAAGGCTGAAGTTGTCCATGGTTTAAGTTTCCTATTTTTTTTGTTTACAGTGAATGTTTCAGTGGTTTCGTCTATATAAAGATTCAGTTTACTGATAAATTTGTCATATGAAATTTGGGTATCTCTTGCCATAATTACATCTTCCCAATTTTCTGTTTCTACTAGCTTTTTGAGTTTAATGAAATTAATTTTTTTGTATGTTTTTTTATTTTCAATAGCAGATATGTCGAGTTTTTTGTTTAAATATATATGGACAAAGGGTGTATAATGATCAGTAAGAGCAGTATGAAAAACTATAGGTTCCGTTTCAATTTGATTACTAATTTTTTTGCTTATTCTTAGAAATATGTGATCAATACATGTGTTAGTAGTTCGAGTGACACGAGTTGCTTTATTTATATATGAAATAAATCCGTAAATATGTAATAAATTTAAATATCTAGTTGTTTCATTTACTTCAGGTTCTAGAATATTAATATTGAAATCTCCTAAGTAGATTTCTAGACTTTGTTTTTGAAGGTTTTCAAAGTAATGTTCTAAATCATCTATGAATTTTTGAATACTTGTTGAAGGATACCTATAATAAGCTGTAACCCCTACATCTATGTACTCGTTTAGATGTTTTTTATTAAAGGTTATACGTAAAAATTTAGTGAAATTTACTTCCATTATTTTTACAGATGTGGTCATATTATTTTTTATGTACACTATTGTGCCATCACTTTTATTTATAGATGTATTATTGCAATAAGGCGTATAATTTGGAATATGAAAGTTACTTACATCTGCTTGCCATGTTTCAGATAAAACTATAATGTCCAATATATCCATACCTGTTTCTAAATATATCAAAAGTTCATCGAAATGTTTCCTCAGACTTCGAATATTAAAATGAATGACCGCAATCCCACTTTCCGACCTGTCTTTCTCTAGTTCCTTTATGTAATCCTGAAAATTTTCCATTTCTTTATTGTTATTTCATTATAATTATCTAAAATATCAAAAAACTCAAGAATTATATCAATAGTATTCCTAAAGAACTCCTACAATACACATAATAATATAAAATAATATAATTTAGGCTTTTATATAATTATTAAAGATAAAGAAAAAAAACACCAATTTATGTGGTGAAACAAAATTAAAATAAACTAGGTAAGTACATAAGAATGATATTATTTATATTTATATTTTATTTATTAATTTCTTGAAGATTTCTTTTATTTTTGATAATTTGCACTTTCTTATTGTAGTAAATATAAATTTTCCCGTTTTCAGTCCAGACATTTTTGAGACCCACTTTAGTTGAGGCTTCATTAAAAAGGATCACTTTACTGTTTGTTAGGTCTTCTTTAATAACCACACCGGTTCCTTTTAGTAACTTCTTTTTGGAATAAATACTTTGCTTCATTTCTAAGGAGCGTAATTTTAAAAAATTTCCCCTGTGTTTTTGATCAGTTTTAGTTCCAACTCTATAACATACTGAAATATTTTCTGATTTTAAGTTTACATCAAATTTGGTATTAAAAAAAAAAAAAAAATTAATCAGTGAGTTCTAAAAACTTCGTGTATACTTTGGAAAATGACGTATCAGAGACAAACAATAGTCAGACATCGTATTCGTGTCTCAGAAACCCTGATAGCGCTCTTCCATGACGCGTAAGTCTTCGCTCATATCTCCTAAATTTTCCAGGAACCAATCCAGGTGACTATGGAGAAAGTGGAGTTTTATGCTCATATTGCACCCCATATTTTTTAATTGTAGCAGAAGGTCTTCTACAAGTTCAATGTAATTTGCAGATTTTTCATTTCCGAGAAAATTCTGCATCACAGAGACGAAAGCTGTCCAAGCCTTTAGTTCTAACTTAGTCATAGAATTTATAAATTGAGTATCTTTCGTAAGTTGTCTAATTTGGGGGCCATCAAAAATACCGGCTTTAATCTTTTCCATAGTGAGCTGAGGAAATTTTTGGCAAATGTAAGAAAAGCAGTTTCCGTCTTTATCTACTAATTTAACAAACTGTTTCATGATGCCCAGTTTTATATGTAATGGTGGAAGAATAATTTTGTCACGAGCTACTAATGAATTCTGGACTATATTTTGCTTTTCAGGCTTCATATTTTCTCTCAAAAGCCAATTTCTTCTTACCCAATGCTCTTGTTTAGCTCTACTGTCCCAAAGAGATATAAAGCAGGAAACTTAGTGTAACCACTTTGTTAACCGAGAAGAATTTTCACCATTTTTAAATCGACACAAATTTGCTACTTTTGGTCACTGTATTTTATTTTGTTCAAGACTAGCGAAATGTTAAAATATTCTTTCTTTAACTTTGTACTGTGGGCAATAGGTACCCCAGCGTATTTATTTCCATTATGTAATAGAATACATTTAAGATAACGTTTTGAGCTGTCATTGAATAAACGACAGTCGTTTGGTTCGTATTATTCCAAGCCTATTTTTATTAACAAGTTTTTAATATCTGAACAGAAGGTAATACCGTTTTCTTCGGAAAAATAACACCGTAATTCTTTATCTCTTTCACGATAAAAACTTATTTTAGTATCTGAGGAATTTTTTTTCTCTCAGTCTTGATGCTAACAATTCTGAAGCTTGTTTAGAAAGATTTAAATCTCTTACAAGATCTTCTAACTCATTTTGGGAAAAGCATTTTGGCTCATTTGACATACCTTCAAAATCAGCATCATTTTGTGATGAGCTAGGTCCTTCAATGTCTTGTTCTAAGGGTTTAGATATATTTTTAGGCACTGAAGAGTCAGGTAAATGCTGCACTGGACTTTGAACACAACTTGTACTTGGGTAGTGCCATTTAGCTCGATTTTTAATGTTTAAACCGTTTACGTTCACGGTTCAAAAATAACAGCCTTTGAGATAATTTCATGGTTCTCGCCAAATAGTCGGCATTTCAAATTTAAAGGCATTTCTTTTACCACTTTTCCATAATATTAAATATTCCACACACGATTTACAAATACAATTGGGAGACCAAGACTTCTCATTTTTATCCAAGAGCATACCAAAATACTCAAAATAGGTATATTTCACTAACTCTGATATAACTTTTCTACAATCGTTATATACATATTCTCCGCATATATAGCAAAAATGATCTGGACTGTTTAAACAACGTCTCCTTGAACTACTCATGACGCAAAAACTTCAGATACTAATCTTAACACAGTAAAATACGCCTGTTATCGATTAATATATACGCTTAAATGATAAAAATCAAAAACAAAGTAACTCGAGCTGCTCAAAAAAGGTTGAGGTTAGATTTGACAAAAACAAGTCATAAGTGAACATTATCAACTACAGAATTCGAGGCAACAGAGAAAAAGTTAAATTTTGAAAACATTGCGTATATGACATTGACGAATTCACATTCACCCATATCTATTCTATTGAACTGTAAGGTTAATTATTGGTATATTTGGATATTTGATTATTCTGGAATCATAGGCGCCGGAACTCAAAAATTGCTTTGGGTGCCCGGCCTCTATGCGGGAGATGAGAGCTTCTTCTTCCTCCACATAACACTTGGTCACCACCGGTTTTTAAAAGCACTTAAAAGCCATTTTAAAGCGTTGACTTTATGAAAATTTTCTTGAAAAAAAAAAAAGGTATTGTCCAATGTCGAATTGCTGAAGTTTTGAGGATTGAAGCAGCAGATGGGAGTATCAACAATCGGTATGCTTGAGGCTTCCACCTAAATCGGGATATCTGGCCTCTGGCAACCCTATATGCTCGGTGCAGCCATCACTGGTATTCGGTGGTGCTGCGGTGCTAGAGTACCAATGAAATAAGTAGAAACACAATATAAAACATTTATTAACTATCATGAATTTAGAAGATTTTTGATGATTGATTTATTAATATACACATAATGGAGTATTGTATATGTACAGGGTGGCCATTTGAAAACGAAACAGAGCCAATTTTGGGCACCTCAGGTCTAAGGTTGCCACCTGTCCTTTTTTGAAAAGGACAGTCCTTTTTTTGAAGCAAAATGTCCTTGTAATTTATTAAAGCTTAAAATATCCTTTTTTACGTCAAATGTCTTTTTTACAAAACATATCTTTAGAAGGGACATGGTTCCAAAAATATATGAGCTGAGGACCTTTTTTTTAAGAAGGTCGGTAGAATGACGAGAAGGATTTTTTTGGTTACAAGCTTGGCGAGCTTTTTATCAGAAGTTCAGTAGAAGGAAGAGGAATTTTTGTATACCGTAGCTCCTGCCAGCATCGTAGTCCTTTATTCACTTTTCACAAAGGTGGCAACCTAACTCAGGTCATTTACGAAAAAACGATCGGACCCGTCAATTTTTAATTTTAGGGGGAAATATTTTTTTTTAGCGGGGGTGAAACTTCCCCCTAAAATCTTATTTTGAAGGTATTTTTACCTAGATTATAACCCCCGAGTTTTAAATCGCTAGTGTTATCAATTATCCGTTGTCGCAGATTTTCCAGTGATGTTGGCTGGGTGGCATAATTTAAGTTTTAAGTGGCCCCATAAAAAAATCTAACGGGGTCAGATCCAAAGACCGTGGGGGCCACCCAGTACTTCCTCTTCTTCCGATTCATTGACCTGGAAATGTTTGATTCAAATACTGACGAACAGTTAGTGCAAAATGGGGTGGCGCACCGTCTTGCTGGAATATTAAGTTGTTTGCTATATACTTTCACGAGCTACTTTATCTACTGACTCTATAACGTTCATTTTTGGCCCCACGAATTAATAAAATTGTTTTGGCTTACCTGGTTAATCATACGAAAAAAAAAGAGTAAAATCGTATTGATGATATCACTATTATTTTTGTCATTAACTAATTTCACCTGTATTCTAACTTTCGGACATCATTATTATAATTTATTTCATCTCACCACTAAGTAAAAGGTAGTATAATACTTTGTATAATGGTCATATTTGCAGTGTAGTGTTTACTGTTTTAATTTGCCAGATTCTCCTAAAAATAGACCAAGTTTCGTTGTAAATTTATACATATTATGTATTATAGTCTCACCTTTGGGTAATTAATTATTTACGATACCATTCTTTAAGATTCTCTTTGTTTATTTTTGTTATAGATGTCAGGTTAGGTTAATATTTTTTTTTTAATTATGACAGTGAATGACACAAACGTCATTTGACGACAGAACACCGACAAGTGTCATGTTGGTGGGACGTTCCTATATCGGTTGGGTAAGGTAGTTTCACAATGAGCGATTTTAAGTCGTGAGGGATTTTGTTTTGCGATCGCTGTTGTGTTAATTTTTTGTCGGGAACAGTTTCCCAAATGTAGTTATACTGTATATAAATATAGTTTTTAGGGTACCTTTCGTAAATGGTCTGTTAAGTTATATAGTGGGGAATTCTTGAGGATGAATTTCAGAACCCACTTGACATTTATCGGAAAGGGATTTCGGCCATTTTGGACGGCTGACGTATTGTTTTTCTGGAAGTGGGTATTGAGTCACGAGAGACGATTTTTGCGTCGAAGTAGAATTTTCTTAATATTTAGCCCCATCGGCTTACCCTAGTTAAAGGGGATTTTAGATTCTACTTCATGGTTAATTGTGGGTAAATGGACATTTCGTATTTTGAGAGGAATTTTAGTGTATTGGTAAATTCCTATGGTCATTGGTCCAACCCATATCTATTATAGGATTTTAACGCAATAATTGGGAGTTCACAGCATTTGGAGTGTGGAATATTGTTGCTGTGGATCATCTCACGTGTTTCTCATCCTTGGAAGGCTACCAAGTTAACCCTTTACGAAAAAGGTATGTTTTGTATATATTTGGTTATGTTACCATCCATGTGGCTGGCAATTTCTTTTATGTTATGGCATTGTATAACAGAATTTTAATTATTTGAGCTCATAATACTGTTTATGACTCACTGTTGAGCCAATGTAATTTTTCTTTATCCTAGATACTGAATATTTTCTAGTTTATGTACATTTTTGGGTAATCCTATAGTTCGGGATACTTGAGTCAATGTGTATTGACATTTTTCTTTGTAATATTTTAAGGGTTTCACCCAGGGGCTTGTTAGCCCAGGATTAGACGACAATTTTAACCCAGGGGGTTGTTAGCCCAGGATTCGACGACAGTTTGACCCAAGGGATTGTTGACCCAGGATTTCAACAGTTGTACACAGAGGGTTATATCGTCCGGAGTTCAACGGTTTCATCGAGGGAACACAGAACATTGGTATGCTAGTCGCCTAGCTTACTTGTAGCTAGATTTACAATGATGATTCTCGTTCTGGATAGGAAGATGGGAATGCTGTGAAAGAAGACACCCTACTATCAGGTTTTTCTTATACGTTATATTGAAGGTTTCATGCGTGCATTGTTAAACTATACATTCACTTTCAACCGAATGTTGTCAAGGTATTCTCAACATTATTTATACTTTTAAGCACAGAATGTTCTAGGGTTCTTTCACTCATAACTTAAGTATTATCAAATGTTACATCGTTTAATTGATTAATATTTGAAATGTTTACTTAATTTAAGCACTTAATGCTGATGTAGTAATCCTTCGGGTCGCAGAACACTTGGACTGCTTCCACGTTTAAGTTGTAATTCTTCAGTTATTAAGGGCTACTGCCATAATTTTACTTTATTCAATTTATTCATTATTAAATGGACCAGACTTAACAATTAAGTTAAGCAATCTCAGAAGACCCGTGTGGGGGCAGAGATTAAGTAACCTCTTCCAATCTGGGAGTTTAAGTAAATAACCTCTGTGTCTGAAGTCCTTTGTGTATCTTTGTATTTTTATTTTATTTTTATATTTTTATTGTATGAATTATACTTAATTATAAAATTTCATGGTTTAATAATTTTCTTTTTGGTAGTTTGGTCTTAACCATAAGTTAAGCGAATATCGCCTTCCAATTTGGAGAGGGTTATAAGCTTATAAGGATTATAAGTTTACTGTTTAGTTTACAATATATGATGTAGTATAGGTGCGGTTATGCATAAGATTTAAGTTAACTATTATTTTATATTTTATTTTTTTATGTAAGGTGGAAATTAATATTTTGCGCAAGCGTCATGCCTGGTACCAAGCTAACGACGAACCGTGCCATATTTTGATTTAATAATTTATTTTGGGTTATGCATATACATATACAGTGTAAATTTTCTCTTTAATTTCCTCCAATTATTTTTTTTATTACCTAAGCCATTTGGTAATTAGCCTGTATATTTAGTAAATATTTTTTTCTTTATAAAGGAACATAAGTTGAGGTTTGTCTTTTATTTCTTTCCTCATTTACTGGGTTTTTGGGGAAATAGGATCATAGTTTGGCCACTATATAGACCCAGTTGGCGCCTATCTATTTGTCTACTATTTCCGGAATTTTTGTAAGCTATCCACCCCCTAGCTGCCGTCTGAGCGGCGTCGAAGGCCCGAAGGTTGACACCGGAACAACCGAAACTTGTGTAACCGTAGTAGACAACATTTTTAATTGTGTTAATACTTTAATATTTTTTTTTAAGTTTAAAAATTTTGGTGGAATCACCAAGTTCATTTTGTAGGTTATTTGCTACCTGACTCGGGGAAATAAAAGAGCAGAACAACAGTTAACAATCTATTAAATATAAAATAATATATCCAAAATATTACAATAATATAAAGGGCCTTACCAATGGCTAAACATCTAAAGGCGACGAGGGCATGTCACGTCACTTCTTCTAATTGGATGCAAGACGATGATGAGACTCAAACTAAGAGTATTCGAGAGACTA